AAAAAAAAAAAAAAAAAAAAAAAAAAAATGAGGCACACATTAAAGAAGAGACAGGTTTACCATTGAGAATTGTGGAATTTTTCTTTGCAAGAACATTTCAAGGCCCAAATAATAAAAATATTTTGGGCAATACATAGTAAATCTTTTAATTTAAATAATAGCATAGAATCCTTCTCAGAAATATTATTGTACATTATATCTATTATTTTATAATAATAGAGAGAAAATAAAATTAGTAATACAAATATTAAAAGCCAATCATCAAAATTAAATTAATGTTTAGCACAGACTATTATTTATACAATGTAAATAGGCAAAATTATCAATTCCATTTAATATAAAGTACATTTCCAGCATATAATTATTTTTAAAATGAGAATTATCAATTTTAATTCAACCATTTCAAGTATTCATTCAGCTAAGGGAACAAAATAATTCTCTTAAAAATTCAAGATTTAGGGCTTCCTTGGTGGCGCAGTGGTTGACAGTCTGCCTGCCGATGCAGGCGACACGGGTTTGTGCCCTGGTCCGGGAAGATCCCACATGCCGCGGAGCGGCTGGGCCCGTGAGCCATGGCCGCTGAGCCTGCGCGTCCGGAGCCTGTGCTCCGCAACGGGAGAGGCCACAACAGTGAGAGGCCTGCGTACCGCAAAACAAAAAAACAAACAAAAACACAAAACAAAACAAAAAAAATTCAAGATTTACAGATTAATATTAGAAACTTTTCCAATATAATGCATAGACTTACATCATACAGCGACATGTATCCCTTGCTTTATAGTTTATAATCAAGAATAACTGGTCACTGAAGTCTCTTGACCAAAATATCACTGTAATTGTATGAGGCAAAGTCCTATAATAAGATGAATACAATAATGGCCATATCTTTTCAAAAACAGAATATGGAAGTTTTCATTTTCACAACTATGAATTTGGTTTCCTAAAATCTGGTTCCCAAAGCCACCTTCTAAATGTTACAGTGGAGGTGGGGCAGTTGTGGAAATAAATGATTTAATGGAACTCTGAAGAAAAAAATAATTATCATAGATTTTAGTTTGAAAAATATATCTGCTGTAAGAGACACTCAGAAGTACGTAATACAGGTTATATCAAAGTTTATTGGTTAGCTAAAGGGCAGAGAGTAAGGGGCAAGTAGAAGGTAATATTTGCTTTTAACAAAGCAGACTGAGTAATATGTTAAGTGTTCGGGTCGGATAGGAAAGAACTCAAGACAGGCAAAAATTTCCTCTTGGATTTTCTATATAAACATCTGTTTTAGTTTTGGACCGTTCACCAATGTGCTCATGTGATGGAGAGGAGGGACTCTGCCCACCCATGAAAATGCTTCCCAGACCAACAGGTCCTTGTCCAGCTGCTCTAGAAAGGCAGCTTGTCCTCCGAGGTCCCTGGGGCCCCAGAGGAGTGTAGAAATATAGGAAAATGGAAGCCAATTTGCATAGACAGTTAACCCATCCTAACTGGACTCTTTAGTGACCTAAGTTTTTCAAACACCACCTACAAGTACAGACTTTAGCTAAAAAACATGGATACGTATCTGTCTTGAAGATGCCTGTAAGAGGTCATGACATGATCTTGCGATCTTGTGATCTGCAGAATCCTCAGCTCCCTTCAGCTGTCTTTCCAAATAAAATCTTAAATAATACAGTTTAAGTCCTTTATTGGGCTCTGTAACCCTTTCAACCAAATAGGCTGCAGTTGTTTTATGTAACTTTCATTTCATTGGAAAATGTGGGAGGGTACTTGATATTACCTAAGTAAGATCAGTGGGTAAATACCGTCCACCCCAAAGCAAATGATGCTGCCTTCAGGGAGTTGTCAGAAAGAAAGTCAAATGATACACCAAGACAGCACATTTGCATGAGCAAAGCCCTTCAGCACAGCTCGAACATGTTCTTTTTGAGGAGGCTCCAAGACACTTGGTAATTTCAAGTGTGAAGCAACAGAAGTCTTTCTTACTTTAAAGTCAGAAGCTTCTGAAGAACTTCAAGCACAATTTTATTACAAAGGATATACTGCTCCTAAATACATACATACATATATATATATATATATAACTCATATATACATACATATATATATATATATATATATATATATATATATATACACGAAAAACAATGGAATGTTAATTGAATACCAATATCCACTTTCAGAAAACACATTTGTACTTTTCAACCACAAAGAAAAGTGCCTAAAAAGAGCAAACATTTAACCAAGAACTTCTTTATGTAAATACATTTTTTTAAATATCAGGAAGATAAATGATGATAATATAGTTCTTGGTCTAGAACTAGTTAACTGAAGCTTAACTGAACAGAAGGGAAACTGACTCAATCTCAATCTCTTTACATCTTCACTGGATAAACCAAATTTAAACTGTTTTTTAGACGTAGCCTAGTTCAAATGAAACACTTCATATCATTGAACATTGCCTAAAAAAACCCTAAAAAAGATTTAGGGGTACCTGTTTATTTTCATTATCCATATTCTCTTGATCCCCCAATGATTAATATAACTAATCTGTGACATAAATGATTTCCTTTTTATAATATGTCAGTGACTTTGATATTTTAGTTGCAAATAAATATCCCAAAATTGCCATCCAGAAATTTAGGGAAAATAACTTTAGATATGTTACTTAAAATGGCATTAAGTACTAAGCATGCGTGTGGGCATTAGGGGACTTCAGTTTCAGTCCTGGCTCCTCTACTTGCTGTCTGAATGACATTATGGAACAAACTTCATTGCTCTGAACTTGAAGTATTTCATCAGTAATATCAGAGCATAACTAATGTATACCTCAAACGGTGAGAATTCGATGAAACTCTGTAGGCAAAAGAGCTTTACAAATTGTAATGTGCTATACAATGTTCATCTTTATATTCATCATTGTTCTTATTAGAATTTATGTGGTGAGACTTACCTTTGTTTGGATCATTCCATAACGTTGTTCTCTCATTTGGCCCACTATATTCATGATGTTGAACTGTAACAGGATGACAGTAATTTTGTATTATCCATAGAGGGGAAAAACACAAAACCCACAGATGCCAAAGGAGTACGCCATACTTCTTTCCAGTAAAAGATATCTCAATATTTAACCAGAAAGTTCTCATTTCCAGTCATAAGAAAATGTACTATGTTTAACCTTGTCTAATGGATAAGGAAGACTTGTTTAAATGGGGTTCCAGGAAAAAGCAGGAAGCAATCATTTATAATAAGAAATGTTCTCCAAAAGAAATAACAACAAATTTGCCCCTGTGTATACTTTTCTGTTCTCAGAAGGGAGAACTTAAAGCAGCACTGTGATTCTGCAAAAGTCTGAAGCATAGAAGACTTTTTCTGGCCACAACAGTAACACAGCTGTTTCTCATATAAAGAGCCCTCTCAACTCAAATGGAGACCCTGAGCAACAGTTGGCCCAACACCAGATTCTGCACCTGTGCACAGAGACCAGCACTACCCAGTGTGTTCACTAAGCTGGTGCAGGTCTGCAAAGGGATGTTGCTAGACCACAATGAGATGTGTCCAGAAACTGGTAATAAGTGTTTAGAAACTCTTAGGGCAATCTGACAGTAGTGTAACATTGAGCAGCCTCATCAGTGGAACAAGATATAGACCAGCTCAGGTGTTGCTGAACTTGCCTGAAAAGTCATATGTGGTGTAAGCTGAGGATGAGCTATGTGCAGCAAGACCACATGAAATTTAAGGTTTGTCAACTGTCAACTATAATCCAAAAGTACATGAAAATCAGAGAAAATGTAAGCATTCCTTTATTTATATAATTTGTCATTTCTATAATAATTTTAAATGTTAATTAAGCCTTTAAAAATTTTTATATTGAAATAATTATAGATACATAATAAGTTGCAAAAAATGTACAGAGAGAGTCTGTGTATCCTTCACCTAGTTTCTCCCAATTATACCATCCTCTACAACTAGAGTATAATATCAAAACCAAAAAATTGACATTGGTACAATCTACAGAGCTGATTCAGATTCTGCCAGTTTAACATGCAATCATTTGTGAGAGTGGGCATGTATGTGTGAGTATGTATAGTTCTATAAAATATTATCACATGTGAAAATTCATGCAACTGCAACCATGATCAAGGTGCACAACAGTTCCACCACAAGACTTCCTCCTGTTATCCATTAGAACTACCCACCCACCCCAACCCCTAACCCTTGGCAACCAGTAATCTGTTCTCCATCTCTATAGTTTTGTTATTTCAAGGGGATTACATAATGGGATCATGTAATATCTAACTTTTTGAGACTAACATTTTTTTCATTTAGCCTAATTGCCTCATGATTCATCCAAATTGAGTGTATCAGTAGTTCATTCCTTTTTATTGCTAAATAGTATTCCACAGTATGGACAGGTACCAATTTTTTTAACCATTAAACTTGTTGAAGAACATCTAGGTTGTTTCCCAGTTTTTGGCTATTATAAATAGATCTGCTATGAACATTTACATATAGGTTTAGGTGTGAACATAAGTTTTCATTTCTATGGAATAAATACCCGAGTATTATTGCTAAGGTTATATGGTAAGTTTAGTTTAGTTCTGCTTTTTTTTTTTTTTAAAGAAAATTTAAAACTATTTTCCAGACTGGATATACCATTTTACATTCATTCCTATAAGCAACATGTGAGTAATCTAGTGTTTTCAAACCTTCACCAGCATTTGGTGTTGTCATTATTTTTTATATTAGCCTTTCTGATGGATGTCTAGTAATATTTTATTATGGTTTTTTCTTTAACATCTTTATTGGAGTATAACTGCTTTACAATGGTATGTTAGTTTCTGCTTTATAACAAAGTGAATCAGTTATATGTATACATATGTCCCCATATCTCTTCCCTCTTGCATCTCCGTCCCTCCCACCCTCCCTATCCCACCCCTCTAGGTGGTTACAAAGCACCGAACTGATTTCCCTGTGCTATGTGGCTGATTCCCACTAGCTATCTATTTTACGTTTGGTAGTGTATATATGTCCATGCCACTCTCTCACTTTGTCCCAGCTTACCCTTCCCCCTCCCCATATCCTCAAGTTCATTCTCTAGTAGGTCTATGTCTTTATTCCCATCTTGCCCTTAGGTACTTCATGACCATTTTTTTTTTTTAGATTCCATATATATGTGTTAGCATACGATATTTGTTTTTCTCTTTCTGACTTACTTCACTCTGTATGACAGACTCTAGGTCCATCCACCTCACTACAAATAACTCAATTTCATTTCCTTTTTATGGCTGAGTAATATTCCACTGTATATATGTGTGACATCTTCTTTATCCATTCATCTGTCAATGGACACTTAGGTTGCTTCCATGTCCTGGCTATTGTAAATAGAGCTGCAATGAACATTGTGGTACATGACTGTTTTTGAATTATGGTTTTCTCAGGGTATATGCCCAGTAGTGGGATTGCTGGGTCGTATGGTAGTTCTATTTTTAGTTTTTTAAGGAACCTCCATACTGTTCTCCATAGTGGCTGTATCAATTTACATTCCCACCAACAGTGCAAGAGGGTTCCCTTTTCTCCACACCCTCTCCAGCATTTATTGTTTGTAGA